GATTATTCCTGGCCCACGCACTTTGTCTTTTCTTTGGAAAGAGCATTGATCAAGTCATCTTCTCACAGGAAAAAAAGGCATTCCTTTTTACTGCGTGTCGAAATACAAAAGAATCTTCAACTGGGAAAAAAAGGTAGCCGAGCATTTGGGTGTGGATCAACTGCAACTAGGGCAAGGTAGTTCTTTCACTTTTTGTGGGAACCGATAAGCAAACTGCCCATTGGCAGCCAGCTTTATGCATTTTATGAGATTTCCCTCTTTATTGCAGGCAGAACAACATGAAGCATATTTAAAATAGTTTTCTGATGACTGGTATAATACAATTTTTAAAGTAATAGAGCTGATTTAAAAAATCAGGCTTACCAGTTTGTCAATGTCATTCACAGCATCAGTGACAGGGTTTTTGCATGGACTTCCAAAGCAGATAAAAAGCAGCTGAAGATAAATGCATGTGACAATCCAAGTCTATGAGGAAACACATGAAACTTGGTTAATTGAACGCAGAACATATTTCGACACAGCAAATTCTACAGAATTAACAGTAAAAGGCAATACACTTCAGTCACTGAGATTAACAGCATACGAAAAACAATTAAGTAAATTTTTACTGCATCCTGTCTGGTTTATTACAAACATTACATTACTTTATAGACACCACTCAGAGAGTTCACTTGGGTACAAAGATTATTGGTCTAACAAGTTTATTCAGCCTTATACTAGAATTTAACAAATGGTTGTTTGGACAAGTTGGAAATTTCCATTCTTTCAATTTGCATTTTGGGCTGGCCTAAGGTTTTAATAATATGGATGAGATCTTCATAATTAAAATCTAAAGTGAGTCTGTCCCCACTGGGTCACTTTCAAACAGAAGACAGCCTGTAAAAAATGAATAGATATGTTTAACTTTCTAGGGGCCTGTTTATTGAAAACCCCTCCCCCACTGCATGTTGTGGTTCCTCCCACTGATTCATATGTCAATACAGGAAGTATGAGCCATTGGGAAGAACCACTGCATGCAGCAGGGGTAAATGGTATTTGACCCACCTGAAGGGTCTAATGCCTGCAGTTGAATGAAGCTAAGGCTCTTCAACACATTAATCACCAGAAAGCTAAGCATTTACACTCCTTTTTATTACAGGCTGCCTTCTGTTTAGAATGGGGGAGGGGGGGCAAGAAGAGGTTTGTATATGCTGTTTGGGGGGGGGGGGGGGGGTGAGTTTAGTGACCCTTTTTCTTTGCCCTGCTTGGATAAACCACAGTATCACTTTTCACTGTTAAAGTGTTTTCCATTAAAATCTCATTTCAAATGTACGTTCTATTGATGTAGCCAATTTAAAGCAGATGTCACAGTGACTTCACTTCCCATAACAATGTGCCATGATCATCTACTGGGAATGATTTTCCATCCTCTAGAAAAATGTATGTTTGATATTTGCCAGTGAGTACTTTTTTATGTTTTTGCAATTAAAGGAGAAATAAATCCAAATCTCTTTTGACCCTACCAGGGGCGGACTGACCATTCGAGCACTCGGGCACTGCCTGAGGGCCCGGGGTCAGTAAGGGGCCCCATGAGATTCCCCTGGGTACCTTTCATAGGCTTTTTTTGGGGTGGTTTGAGTGTGGGCGAGGGCACAGGGGCCCCATAATCCCCTATTGCCTGGGGGCCCCATGAGTTGTCAGTCCGCCCCGTCACAGGAGTGCACTTAGTTCTGCACTCCTGCAAACCAGATTCAGCTGACAGCAGGCTAAAGTCCACTGTTAGCTGTCATCATGTCAGGATCTGCCCAGATTACTGACCGGCAGCTGACAGCCTGAGCCAGCCACTTCTGCGACTCCACAGTCCGGAGCAGGAGCGGACTGACCATACGGAATGTCAGTAGGGGGCCCCATGAAATGCCCCTGGTACCTTTTATAGGCTTTTTTGGGTGTGCTTTGAGTGTGGGCAAGGGCACAGGGGCCCCATGATCCCCTATTGTCCAGGGGCCCCATAAGTTGTCAGTCCACCCCTGGTCCGGAGTGCCAGTGAGTTCTGGGAAGGACCCAAGAAATGAGCCATCAGCAGTCTTTGAATGCTCAGTTCGCAGTGTGGAGGTGGCGGGGGACAGCTGCAGTTCAGATCGGTACTGCAGCCATCTAGGTGAATAAATAGTTTTTTTTTAAATCACACACTTCTAAATCACACACACTTTTAAATTAAATCTATCAACCCTTGAAAATGTATTTGTGTTTTTTTATCCTGCCAATGTTTAGAATCCAAAGCATGTCTTGACATTAGGAAAAGACCATTCATTACTATCCTGTCTGTATACATCTGAGACCAGTGATATAAGTAGTTCATTATAAAGGTGTCTACAGACATAAGCGGAACACAATCTGACCAGTTATGGCAAGATTGGGTATTGATCATATATTTCAATCATTTGAGGGGAAGTAGATAACTGCAGGTTTAATATAAAACACCTTTTATTTACTGATAGCTGTCATGTGTATAGGTATCTTGACTACCACCAACCTCAGTAACTAGGAATGCACTGAAATTTTGGCGGGCAAAACATATTTGCTGAAAATAGCCCTAATGGCATTTTGCCGATAGGAAAATTTTAGCCGATACAAGTGCTGATACGGGGCTGTGTGTACTGCAGGCGTGGGGGGGCAAAGAAAGGCAAGAGAGGAGCAGTGTATACAGTGAGCTAACATTAAATTTCACTACTGGTTTTTAAATGAAATTACCGGATTTTTATTTCTTCACTATAGCTCAGAGAAGGAGCTGTCATTCTCCCCGCCACTAAAGGAAATAAAGGGGTGGGGTCACCCAGTGACATTACCTAGTGCTCCTGAACCTTAGTTTCCTTTAGTGGAGGGGAGAATGACATTTCCTTCTTGGAGTTATAGTGAGGGGAAAAAAGCCGGTAATTAGATTTAAAAACCGGCATTGTTTTTAAATGCAATTACTGGATTTTTTTTCTTCACTATAACTCAGAGGAGCTGTCATTCTCCCCACCGCTAAAAGAAATAAAAGGGTGGGGTCACTCAGTGACATTACCTAGTGAGCCCGCCCCTCAGTTTCCTTTAGTGGCGGGGAGAATGACAGCTCCTTCTTGGAGCTATAGTGAAGGGGAAAAAAAAGCCGGTAATTACATTTAAAAACCGGAAGGACATATAGGGGCAACCAGTGAGGGAGCCTGAGTGTATACACTTCTCCCTCACTATATACACTGCTCTTCTTCTGCCCCATCCTTGCACACACTGCCCCCCACCTGCTCCCCTACAAAGAAGTCCCCTATGTCCTACTATTGGTCCCCTATGTGATAGCAAAAAAATCATAAGTTAAAAAAATAAATAAAAATACACATTAAAGTTAAAAAAAAAACCCAAAAAATTTTGAACCTACCCACCCCCACATACGCAGACATTTCAGTTTCGGTTTTCGACCACATGTATTCTGAGTTTTCGGTATCAGTTTCGTAAGCAGAATTTTCATTTTGGTGCACCACTATCAGTAACCAATGTTCAAATCATAGTGCACTGATAGAATACAGTAAACATTTTACTAAAATGTGATCGAAACAATTGAGTACTGATGTTATACTTTTTTTATATGCACTAACATACAATTTTGAGGACAAGCTTTCGGGGTATGTCCCCTTCTTCAAGGTCCAAGCAGAAGGGGACATACCCTGAAAGCTTGACCTCAAAATTGTATGTTAGTGCAAATTTAAAAAAGTATCACGGACAGTACTCAATTGTTTCTGTCGCAAGTGTACTAATACGGCTACAATCGCCTCAACTAAAATGTGATCATATACAAATCTAGAGGTCTGTTTTCATTTTAAACTAATAAGTATGAGTTAAAATGTTAAAGAATACAAATATTTCCTTAACTTAATAAATTGGTTGCAGCAAACACAGTCTCACACCCGTTTGGTAATAATTTTACACCATTTTTCGGTAAACCTATAGTAGTATAATAGTAAATGCCCATAGCTGAACTGGAAGGATTATCATAAGAACGTGTTGGTACTTTAAGCAAACGGAAGTATCCCTGAATACCTGTTGCACTGGAAACACACATGGTGCCTCTGTGGGAGCGAATGACCCTCTTAGATTGTGTCATCTGAGATGTTATAAAATAGAAAATATGAGAAGTTGCCCCAAGTCCCTGTTAATTTATACATAACACAACTGCAATTTAGGGCTGATTCTATAATGTCTACAGGTGAATAATGGCCATTCATACAAATATTGCTATTACTTTTGCATTAATATATAGAGGCAGTAGCAAGAAGAAACTGTAGTGGCATGTTCTTGCTTCAAAAATGACGAATTGCTACCTACACTTAAGTCATATGTGGGGTTGGTACCCGTACATTTTCTCATTACGACTGTCTGCTGATCTGGAAAAAAGCAGTCTAGTTTAATCCACAATCTTCTTGAATTAACTAGATGAAGGAGAATTGAGTGCCTGATCTTCAGCGGGAATGTAGAACGTGTTTGAATGATCACAGCCTGCAGCATGTAGTGGTATTAAACTAGTATGACCTGGAGAAAATATGTGGTCTCTAGTCGGACAGGATATTCAGTCGCATGTCCATCAGTTTAACAGGAACGTGTCTTTTCACAGCTTGAAAAAAAAAACCCACATATGGCAAATTCCCCTGCAATCACTAATGTTATGTTATCCTTTGCAGTATGGTTTTAGCAATTTCATTCCACATTGTAATTACAATTTAAATAGTTAAAACATATCATGTATTGATATGGTTACATTTCAAAAGTATAAATTAAAATGATTCTGACAAATGTATAAGTCTCTTATTACAAACAGAGTGGGGTTTATTTAGTAAAGGAGCAGAGAGTGGTTACTTAGCAAGGTGAATATTCACTTAGTAAATAAGGGGAAGCTGTTCACTTCGATCATCCAATAAAGTGCAAGCAAAATACAGTTTTATATATTCTCCTAGATTGTAGGGCCCTCCTAACCAGGGGCGGACTGACAACTCATGGGGCCCCCGGGCAATAGGGGATCATGGGGCCCCTGTGTCCTTGCCCAAACTCAAAAGCCTATGAAAAAGGTACCAGGGGCATCTCATGGGGCCCCCTACTGACCCCGGGCCCTCGGGCAGTGCCCGAGTTTCCAAATGGTCAGTCCGCCCTTGTATTGTCTCCCGTTATATTGTAAATAATAATAATAATAATTAATTAATTTATTGTGAAGGGGGGGGGGGGGGTCTTTTGCATGTAATTTGGCATTCAAATCAAAAAGGACATCAGCCTGGTTACTAGGCTCAGTAAATGTGTAGTTTGCTCAGTAGTCATTCTCTATTCCTTCTGTATATCAATCCCCAATATAAATATCTTACAATTGTACAGGTTATTAAGAGACACGGGTTGATTTACTAAATGCAAGTGCAATTGATTCAGAGCCTATTAAATGCAGTGAAGCTTTACTTTGCAAAGATTACCCAATCCCATGCAAGGAAAATAGAACACAAAAAAATAATAATTTTTGATTGCACATGATTGAATGATAGAAGACAGCAGAGCTCCTCTTCACTTACTAAGCTCTGGAGCACCTGCACTTGCAAAGTGCTCAGTCTATTTGCCTTCAGCAAATCAACCCCTAGATCACTCAGTACACATTTTGAGAGTAAACTGATTAATTAGGTTTACAAATCATTGCTGCTTGACAAAATTTAGGATGCCTTCACATGGCCTGCAGGAGTCTGTACACCATGAATAGAAGCGTATATTACTGCAACTAGACGTACAGGTGGTTTCGCACAATCACCTGTACAACTCAATGACACACTTCATCTGTAGGATGGTAATCTCACTTTCAAGCGTTTACATGTACACAGAGAGGATAAGCACCCCTAGATGCAGACAGTTTTTATCCAAGGATGCACATCTGTCCCTGTACACATGTAAATGCTTTGATATGAGATTACCAACATAGAGACACAGCTTGTCATTGCTTTGTACAGACTTCCGTCTGCAAACACTCCTGGAGGCAGAAATGTGCACTTCGATTCCAAAATTGTAAAGTCCCTGCTTGCCACCCGTTCTTTCTTCTGCTAGAAGGTAAGGATTCTAGGAATAATAGTAACCAGTTGATACATTATTTTATATATTAACTTTAGGATATATATATATATATATATATATATATATATATATATATATAAAAAATCTGCACATTCTTTTTTTGTATAGGGAAGTCAGTTTTCAGGTCATGTATTTTAGATTGTAAGATCCAATGAGCAGGGCCCTCAGATTTCTCTTGTATCAAATTTTAATGTAACTGTACTATCTGCCCTTGCTTTGCAAATCGCTGTGGAAACTACTGGCTCTATATACAGTAAATCCTGTATAATATAAACAATAATAATCTATGGAGCTTCGGCGGCCATCTTACAATACCAGATGGTTAGTCCTCATAGATTTCTGTCTGCTGTTTTTACATTATTTACCCTTTGATGCATCATAATAAAGTAATTTTATACCTACTACACTATGGAAGTATCTATGTACCTACCGCCCGGCAGGAGATCTTTAGCCCACAGACCTATCACCCCAGGACGGATCAATACTTCATAGTGGAGATCTGCATACTTAAGACACAACAGGTCTTGGAAAGGGGACCCCTAGAGGACGAGGATCGTCTACACCAACTTCATAGGATCCATTTTGATGACCCACCATCCCTTAGAGGGAGGACCACCCATTTCCTGACCTTCTCTATATCTGATGACATCTGGATTATTTACATAGGACTCAATTAATATGCACGTCCGGTGAGTGCGCATTACCTTATCACTATTTGCACTGGTACCGGGTCCAGAGTCACCGAAGCACAAGAGTCACTTTATCTTGTTCATATTGTCTACATATCGGAATTCACTTAATTATAGATGAGATACATATATACTTTATCATTTATAGTTGCTTGGACAATATATATATATATATTTTAGCGCTGCACTTTCCTATTTATTCAAGTTACCTGTCTGCTTTTAGCTATTCCTTTTAACCAGATCCAAAAAGAATATTGTTTCTGTTTCAGGGTAAAATGTAAGTGGCATAGGTATTAGGTGGGAATAGACACTTATCAGCCATAAGAATTCTTCCAGTTAATTTAGTACAACCGGTGACATCACAGATATACAATGTTAATTCACAAGTTGCCCTACTGATGAACCTGCATTCTTTGGAGGGCCTAAGGTGTGACTAGGCACAAAGTTCCTAGGGCAGTGCCTTTGGCAGTGGATTTTCAAGCTACCATCACATTTTATCACTAGGGAAAGGGCAGGGTGGAGTGTCATATTCTATTATCAGGTCAACTTTAATCACACCACTGGAACATATTCCCTGAATCTAATTTTTCTGGACTGATGAACAATGTCCCCAGCAGTATACAGAAGAAAACAAGAACGTTTAAAAGCGCCAATGAGACCTCTATGTGCCCTTACAATATACAATAACATGAAAAAACACGCACCTGCAGAATGATAGAATTGCAGCACATTTAAAGCCAAATAATCAAAGTAGTTCTAGTTTAAAAATAATATGAAAATGAGTTAAGTTTTCATATAATTTGTCTAAAAACTACTACAAAATAGTAAAACACAGTGCAAAAATAAATGATGGCTTACTAAAGCAAACACAAGGCAAATTAATGTTTGCATTGACGGTATCATTTTAAGTCTAAAGGTATACCAGCACAGATTCAATGAAAACATGGAGCACGGTTTCAGTATCATAGCCATTTGATACACAGACTTTAGCACAGCTAATGACAGCTGGAAGGTTTTCGTGTTTGCCTAATTAGAGAGTTTGCATAATGTTAAAACAATTAGCCAATAAAGGCAATGAGCTGTAAGCAGAGAATAGGCCATTTTTTCACCAATAAACAGTGATTTTTATAGGATCAAAGGCCTCAAGGGGCAGTTAGGTCAGAGATTTTTTGTGATTAATTATCCTCTCTTCCTCTCAGTATAGCTTATATACAGTAAATAACAAAGCCAGATTTCTGCTTGCTCCACACAAAATAATAATTACTGCTCTTTTTAGTTTGCAAGACACCACAATAAAAAGGTAAACCACCAAAGATTAACACATATCTAAACCCAAGAGCAAAATGTTATATAGTACAGCTTAGGCACCACATTTATCAGAGATACCTTTATGTGGCAGTGTGGTTTCCACGTGTATAATGGTTTGCCACTGAATTAAACTGAGGAGTTAAAACTGTGTTGACAGAATTTCTTTTTTATCTTCAGATTTTTTCATTTATTTTCACGTGGTAATACTTTCAGCAACATATTTCTTGTTCTAGGGTGTACTGTATCTAGGGACTGTTATCCCATGGTGTTCTCTTGATTTGGGTTACAGACACCATAACATAGGAGGGACATGTTCTGTAGCTCACAGAAAGAACTAGGAAGGCTGGTAACATTGAGATTTCCATTTGGTAAACAGGAATTTCCAAGCACCCTGGATGTCTGGCCAGATCGACAAGTGTCATGGAAGGCTTGTTCACAACCACTTACAATTTAATGGGCAGTCATGCAGATCTTTATTCTGATATGGCAAAACACAGAATAATATTATGTGCATTCTACAAGCACAGAGGAGTAGAAAAGACTGCTAGCTAATTTAAGAATATTATTTTTATTGTTATGTATGTGTCTCAAAGAGCTAATTTATGAAAGTGTGCTTTTTAAAAACTGTTCGTATTGCCTAAAAGCACCAGATTAGGTTCAAGGAAATTCTGGCTGAAAAAAATAAGAATTTTTGTATGCACCATATTCTTGGAATGAAACCCAATCTATGAATGGAGGAGGTGGACCTTTCATTTACCTGCCCATCCTCCATTCATAGATCATGTTTAATTCATACAAGCCATAGTACAGTTTCTAAAAATGAAGGAAGTGGGTGAAAAGGGGAGCCATAGTTGGCACTCTTGACTAGCTACACCAGAAAATTATTGTGGCGGGTTGAGGGTTATTAGAGGACAAAGTTCTGCAGCCAGCAGCACAAGGAACACATTGCACTGACATTAAGCAATGTCCCTTGTCCTGTTTTTTTTCCTGCTAAACTAAGGCTTTAAATTTTAACTAAAGCTATTGAATACTGTAGCTGAGATGGCAGCCAATATTTTGAGATTACTGTACATATCCATGTGTGCAGTCTTTGCATAAATATTTTAAATGGCTCCTCAAGTACCATTTATAGCCATGCTCTTCTCTTCATTCTTGTCACTATACAGCAAGTGTAAGAAAGTGCCTCACTGCACTTATATTGCCAAAATGTTACACAAGGGCTTTAGAAAATTATTATATTGGGCCACCTTATAGATAGCACAGAAGTAGGGGCGGACTGACCATTTGGAAACTCGGGCACTGCCCGAGGGCCCGGGGTCAGTAGGGGGCCCCATGAGATGCCCCTGGTACCTTTTTCATAGGTTTTTTTTGAGTTTGGGCAAGGACACAGGGGCCCCATGATCCCCTATTGCCCGGGGGCCCCATGAGTTGTCAGTCCGCCCCTGCACAGAAGGTAAGGCAGCAAACTTATTTCTGCCCCTCCCCCCCCTTCATCTCCATCTCCAAAGACAAAGCTGACACAATCTTATTAAAAAGAAACCACACAACTAAAATGGGGGCCCTCTCAAATATAGATACAAGTGACCATTCAGTACAGTCCTATATCATGATTTATATAAGATAATAAGATATAGCCTGGAGCCATATAAGGAGGAAAAGCCATAGGAAAACAACTTGTTATCAAATGCATATTAATGTCGCAAGATTGTCTCTTAGTAAATAGTGTGAAGCTGTGGTCATTGCAATAATCCAATTATGTACGAGCAAAACATTTTATTTATTTATATTATTTTCCTACATGTTTTTGAGTATTCACGGTCAACACAGCTTCACCTTATGAACTATGCTAGGCAAACATTCACCTTGCTCTACCCCTTTACTAAATCAACCCTATAGTGATTTCTTTTTTTATTTGTCTCACACCAGGCCATCTTTTTCATTAAAACCCCCATTTGGGTT